TGGGAAGTGCAGGCATTTTACGACAATCAGACTCACAAATTATCACTCGGGAAAATGTAGACATTGTGTAAGCCCTAACAGCTACCAAAAACGTTGACAAGATAGCAACGAAGGGGTTACAAATGGAGACACTGTATTCACCTAGTCAGGAGGCATTAAACCACCGAATGACCTCAACCACCGCCAAGATGACAAGAACGCGTCGTAAGGAGTAAGTTAAACGAAAGGCCAATAGTTCGATGAAATTTAATTGCTTCGGTTTGGAAAAAAAACAGCATCGCATAAACAGACGGTTTAACAATCTTGAAGTGAAAATATTCGCACCTGGAGATGCCTTCTTCAACTCCTCACTGTAGTCATTTGGTTATAACGCACAATTCCCACAAGAAGATGCTCAAGTTTGCCGACAACGACGGAAGGGCAGTCATTTTTTTTCAAATATTTAGTTGTTGAAATCAGTGCAGTGGGTTAAAGAATTGTTGCATTTTATGCTCTCAACACAATGCGTTGCACAACTCACTTCAACGACATTCGACAGAAACGAGCATATAAGTAAAAGTCCCCTTCGCAGCTGATTTTTTCGTACTTATCCTCCGTTTACTCCTGTATGCTGGATCAGTAGTGTAGTATAGAGGAGAGGTGAGACGGTGGTGAAGAATTTGTCGAGCGCGGTCGAAGGTTGCTACCACCAACTTTCGAGAAATGGAAACGACTATGAAAATTAATGGCTTCCGCTTCTGTACTGTAGCATTTGATCGTGAAATAGGGAAACCGTAGACTATCAAAAAAATAAAAGACTTTTGGACACGTAAAATCAGATTTTTTTTTGAAGAAAAAAATTTCGACGATAGAAGCAATCGTGGTAGGGAGAGATGTGAGTGTCCACATTTGCCATCAATACGCCCCAGGGATTTAAGCAAAGTGTCACTCGTTGAGCAGTATGCGGAAACTGCAGAGGCGGACAAAACACCATCCGACAAAAGGAAACAACAGTGGCCGAATTGGTGGGACGCACACGTACTCACACACACACACACACACACCTGGAGTAGAATGCTGGAAAAAATTGCGATTGACTTCAAAGTGTGTGACGCATTTGAAGAATTCAAAACGATCCACATTGCATCTCCCCGTATTTAGTCAAAAAAAATAGGAAAAGTCAAAGTCCAGAATAGTTCCAAAAACTCAAAAGTAGTTCCAATAAATCTCTCAAAATTTAACAATGAATAGTAATCATAAAAATGCCTCTAACGTTAGTTATGGAAAAGGAGTTGCTGCCAGGACAACATTATCGAAACAACTTAGTTCCTGGCGCAGAGGGTATGAAGAAGTCCTCACTTTTCTGCATGAAAACCTTACATTGTCACTTTGTCAGAGTTTAAACAAAATGCTGCTGTGGTAAAAATGGATGCGGAAGGAAATTCTGCATTCGCTAGACGCCTGGGAAGTATTTACAAAGATCAGAAACCTACTAGCCTTTGTTTTTACTACATATCAGCCAAAAGATGTCACCAATAAACTTCCTTAAACCAATCTGACCCTTGGATTGGACTAATTTTAGAAAGTACTACAAAAGGCAAATTAAGAGAAAATTAATTTAACAGTTGACAAAATTCAATGAAACATCTGCTCATTATTGTTGCTGGGCAAATGCAAAGCGGTTGCACAACCGAAGTAGTCTTCTTTAATGAATGTGTTGGAAGGCTCCATAAAGTAACGCAAGTCATCCAACCCCACCTTATTTACTTATGTCTGCCTTCAAATAGGTGCGTGCATACAGAAAAAATCTTCTTATCATCATCACTGGAAAAGAAGGTGACGCACCGAATTTGATGCCTCTAGCAGGCGTTTCCCAAAGTGAGCGAAAACACACCGCCCCCAACTGAGCTGCGCCCAGGAGCAGAGCGAGTTGAACAAGTAAGCACGCAAAGTACACAACTGCAAGCTCGAGGGCAGGCAAGCTAGCTTATGGGCAAGCAGGCAGACGAGCCTGCCAAAGTTGGGAAATCAAGATTATTTCACATGATTTATTGTTTACCATCAGAACCAAAACAGTCACTAACATGTGTAAAGCGGCAAAAATTATATAAATATGGCTTCTGCAGAAGGAAGTTGTCAAGTGCTGTAAAACTTCGACTATTCCCTTCTGGCAACAAATAAAACAAGCACATTCCGCATATATAAAGAGGTTTAATTCACCGAATCCGCATCCGATGGTTTTATGAAGATTTACCTCATATTACTATTAACGGCTAACTCAGGAAGCTGGTAGCAACCATGCATTCGAGTGGCCCCTTCATTTGAGCACCTCGAAGAAATATAACAAATACTCCTGCCCAAAAGCTAAAAGCAAACGAAACGCTTAAATTGGTCTACTTTTGTAGTGCAGACATAGATAGGACTCGGATAAAACTAACAAGGAATGATAGGGAGTTGACAGTGGAAAATGTAATATAGTGAGGCGAACGGATTTTATCAACAAAATTAAAAGGCAGAAAGTAATGACCTCGCTACAACAGATCTACATTGCTCATGCTTTGAAGTAAAAGTTAACAGAGCTCCGTTGAATGTCAATAATAGAACGAATTATAGAGGACAACGCAAGAAAATTGCCACCAAACAACTAGATGGTAATAACTGCTGGCAGCATTTGCATTTGAATACGCCTTTCCTATTTCATAACAAGACCATTCAGTTACGTCGTTGACACATGCCATCAACTAAGGTCTGCCAATGAAATATGCATTACACTAGCAACCGAATGTTATCTGACGAATGGATTATAGTTGCAGTGTGATGAGTTGATGAGGAATACATAGCTCCAGCCCTCCCTTGATGAAAAAGAGAGGTTTTATCTACCATTTGGGCAGTGCTCAGGGGTAAAGTTGCCAGTAGCAAGCTACCAAGTAAACGAGTGAGCTTTAAGATGGAGAAGTGCGACTGCTCTGGGAAAAGCGCGAGGGTATACAGCGGTGCGTATGTGTGTGCAAATGGCGAGCGCGCAAACGCGCGTGAACAAGGGGCACTCACCCAGGCCACGAGGGCAACAAAAGAGAAGAAGATGACGGAGCGCGCGTTCCGCCGTTGCCACTGCTCAAAACCCTTCTCCTCCAACCACGTGTTCTCGGTGTTCGACCAACGGTTGGCTAGATAGCAGAAGGCCACGAAATTCAGTAGCGCGAACAAGCCTAAAATAGTAAGAGCCGAATTTCAATTCGCTCCACGCCATTTCTATTATCACTACTATTTGTGCTTTTTTACACACACCATATGTGGGGCGAATTCGGTTGAGATTACTATCGATATACGGCAGTAGAAGCATTTCGGATTCCCTCAACCAGTATAATGCTACGTTAGCATCTCGTAATTTGACGCCAGTTGATGAATCCAAAAGAACAGCTTCGAACTAAGGAATACAATCAAACACATTTACGCCCAAGCGTCATCATACAATAAGCTGAGGGACAGATCAGAAAACTGAGGGATATAATTTACTAACTCAAACTAGATGCATGTTACATGTATAACAATAGTGAAAAAAGAATTGCTAAACATAAATGCTAAAACGTTTAATCACAAATAATTGCTTTGAATGAATGACTGACGAAGTGTTCCAACAAAACATTGCTAAGAAACGCGTAAACGTACCTGAACCTCCAATGTCACTAATGAGAATGTAGCGTCGTCGCTTAACATTTGCAGTTTTATCGTACATATAGTCTGAGACAAGAGAAATGAGAGAAAATAGGAAGCCAAGGAGAGTGACAGCCACAGCGAAACGGCACGCGTTCGCATCTCCATTAAATATCGAAGTTCCATCCACCGTGCATCCATTAGTTGAACAACCAAGACCGATGACCGAAATAATCTGGATTAACAGACATTAGACATGTTACTTAAACACAAAACGAGTCGCAGCAAGAGGAAAAGTAGTGGGCTTAACAAAGACCAAAGTGGTAAAAAAAGTCATGTTATAACAACCCACAGAAAACGCAAAACTTATGCAGGATAAAAGTGCACCAACAGCATACCAGATAGGATTCAAGATTTACGCTTTCAAATCAACAATAGTTACCTACCACGGTAGTAATTTTTAGCAATGCTCTTGGCTGTTTGATGAATTCGAATGGCGTAAGAGGCATTTGCAAAGGAGGACCACCATAAATATCGGACGAATCCATTTCCAAAAACAAAGTGCAAAATCCTAATTGCGGCGCAAGACTCAGCTGACCTTGAAAACAAGCTTGATAGCACATAAGAATAGTTCACATACTGACAGCAGAACAGTAGAACAAAAGCTAAAGTAAATAAAGATATTCCGCCTTCAAAAAAACAGTCGCATATATTCTGATAAGCGGAAACATTTTGTAAGCGTAATTCAATTGTTACTTATGTAAAATTTACGATTCTTTTACCCAAATGTATTCGAGTGCAGAGCATCGCATTAACTTTTATTGAGGTTGTCGTGAAAAGAGAGGTTTCGACTTTCCGACCAAGGGGACCCGATTTTGGGGTATCTGCGTGTATTCAACCAGTGCATCATCTGATCGAAGCCTTGCTCGTCGGCTTGTTCGTACTGTTCTTTTGCGGAAGTCAATCGATTAATTGGCAAAATATAGCAATGCAAATGTAGGATGTCAGTAAGACAGCGGTATCTGCTGGGCAATACATTTTTCCGCACACTATGTCGCTTTACAAAGCACCTTATACCTAAAAGTCGTTAAAAAATGTTGGGTTCGCTTTCCGCTGCTACCAGTGTAGCGTCTCGAGGCTTCCCATAGGGTGGAAGAAGGCATAAGTGAGGTTGGATACATGCATTCCGAAGACGACAGGGCAAATTGGGCTTGCGCATGGCCCGAAGGCCAGCCCACGTTCACAGGTTCCAGACAAAATCAAAAGCGACCGCCAAACGTCCGGTAGTCCCATAAACAAAGCATTCCACTCTCCGTCTTAAATGTGCTTGTTCTGTCTCGATGCTCTTCTATGGTGGCATCCGAATAAAGGACCAACGTCATAAATTCTGTTTTGTTTTCCACCGTCTGCAACAGTTTTCGATAATGAGAATGAAGTTTGTATTCTTTGAGTGGAAAACTCTAACGTTCTTATAAGAGGAGGATTGACAGCGAGGTTTGCTTGTGAAATCCTCTATTCTGCCGGCTAGCTATTGGCGATTGAAGAGGAAATTTTCTTTTGCCATCCTAAAAAGTTCCTTTTTGGAGATCTTCTCACAATAAGTAAGAGTTGTTTATTCGTATCCTGTAGGTGACAAACGGGAACGTGATTCTAACAGAGGCGGGCTTTTGCTCCCGATTCAGAAAAATTATTCTGCCAGTACTCTGCACTACGCTCCATATGATTTGAACCATTTTGCCCATTAAAACGCCTTAAAGGAGGCATATTTTGAGTCCTATATAAAGCCTGACTGGCAGTGGTGCTGAGACTCACTTGCAAACACTGTCTTGAGGTAGTAATTAAATTTTGATAGTTGGTGTGTGGATGCAATGAGGACTTTGCCGATACCATCAATCAAAACGAGCAAGCGGCCAAATGGAACCTTGCCCATTTTTGCCCATATATGGTGAAAACTTCGGCAAAAATCTTGCTTTTGCTAAATGAGCTGCGACTCGAGCCACCTCAAAGCCCATTGTTATTCCTTTCTGTCTAATTAAGGACATTCATTTAAAACTTATGTTTTCGAATGCAAAATGGAAAGCCTCTAAACGCAATAATTAAATAGCCATCTCTCACAACGTATTCACTGCTGCAGAACATATAAGAACAACTTGTATAAGTCATGAAGTGCAGCCAGAGTGATGGGATGTACTCGACCGCTCCATTTGCTTCGACAATATCTGGAGTTCCCTTTGGAATTATAACACAGAGAGCAGAGTATGTACTCCCCTTGACCCTCAATTGCATTCAGGAAGAGAGGCCAAATTACTTTTGCAAAACAGATACGCAACTAGGGAAAGGTGGTCATACACAATTCTATGTGGAAGGAGATACGGCGTAATATCTTTACTGACACACCTGGGCATACGGTAAAGTTAACTTAGATGCGAAACTTTTCCGATGGTCTTAGGACAACGTCCCTTTATTTATCAATGGCATTCTTATTGGAACACGGAGCGTGATGGAGCTGGACGCCAACATCGTTCCCAACCCTTCCGCTTTAAAGAATTCAGGGAATCTCCAGCCTCAACTATATGAGCTTCCTCTGTATCGTAGATGTGTCACAATCGGCGGATACCAGGATAGAAGTCGTTAAAAAGTCGGAATTCTTTTCTGTTGCCTTTAATATAGTTCAAAGAAACCTCAAACTAGGTAAGAGAAGGCATCGAGCAGGAAAGGAGGAATTGAGCTTTGGCCTTACGGAAGGTCAACCAAGATTAATACCAAAGGAGGCACCGGACATCGAGCGGTCAAAAATGCAAAGTACTCCACCCACTCACTTTTCTGGCCTTTGGACCGGGCCAAAGGCCTATGTCTTCTATTTATCTCTGTACGCATACACTTAGCCATGCCTGATGGCCTCGGAAGCACTTTGTTTATGCAATCAACTGCATGACTAAGGGCTACTATTGGCATCAACCATGGCTGACCTTAGGTCATCATTTTGCTTTTATGATTCATGCATTTAGCCAAAGTATACGTCTTCTTTTGCGCAGTGGTAAATCTCAGGATGCTACAGCCGTGTGGGAAGTCATAGGGCGTTACAGTTCGCTTTCGAGAATGACCAGAAAACCCACTTATTTACGATTGGGGTGAGTGTGAAACATTTTTAGCACTGTTGTTGTAGCGTCGTAAGACTTCCTTGGGTAAAAGAAGACATCACGTTGGGTAAAATACGTGTATTCTGAGCGAACAATGAATAAGATCATGGCATAGTGCGAAGCGTAATGGTTTGCTAATGTGACTACCTGATGTTCAGCGGTCACTTTAAGATTTGTCTGACCCTTGTACATGTGGGTTGGCCTTCGGGCCATGCTCAGGCCCATTTGCTCTATTCTCTTCGGAATACATATATTCAACCTCATTTAATGCCTTCTTCCACCCAATAGGAAGTCACGGAACGCTAAACTGGTGGGAGTGGAAAGGGAACCCGACATTTCTTTAACCATTTCTATCATAGCACGTACCTACGGTGTAGAGCAGGCGCATTTGCATCGGTTGCGGGAGAATCTCTGAAGCCTTCACAGCGAAAGGATTTAGGCTGACGCCTGTATTTGGCTTCACCTTATCCCTGTGTTTCACAGGCAAGCTATTAACAGCTGAAGCGACCCGCCATATACCATCTGGAAAATTTTCGTGTCGGAATTTTTCATACAAAATCCGTGTATAGACGTCGGAAATGGAGCTACGGTTCTCATTATATACGAGACGATGACTTATCCCGTATTTCCTGTAACACGTCTGTTTTAAACCAGAGTTCCTTCATTTAGTGCTGGAAGAAATTGATGACCATCAGGTGTATGCGACCCCGAGTCTGGTTGTCAGATCAAACGCAACTTCAAATCCTATTGAAGCTGCTGAGGAGATCAAGTACGGTTCCTCAAATTCGTGTTGTCTGTCGACTGGCACATATGGCTCGTGGGTGATTTCTTGTAGTACTGAATATGTTGTATATGGCCGGCGTGGGAGATGTACTAAGAGGATCGCCGAGGGCGTCGGTCAGAAGAAGAGAGGAGCGTTCGGCGGTGACCTTAAGATTTTTCTGACCCTTGCACACATAGGCTGGCCTTCGTGCCATGCTCAGGCCCAAATGCTCTGCTCTCTTCGAAATACATGTATCCAGCCTCACTTACTGGCTTCTTCCACCCCATAGGAAGTCTTGAGACGCAACACGAAGACTAGCCTGTGCGCACAAGGACAAAAGGAGCAGCAAAGTAATCGCAAGATGTCAGATAGCCAATATAAACAAGGCATCGCAGTCGCTTTGAACAAAATTTGCAATGTTTCGACACCTTTGTATAGCTTTTGGGACTTCTTGTTTGATTTCAATTCTATTTATGTTAACGATCACTTTGACTTCACGTTTTGTTAACTTTTGCATATCCTTTATTCCGAATATTAAAAATTACCTAGCAATGTTGATTTCCGCTCATTGGGCACCCATTCCTAATAAACGTCGAAATAATTTTCAATCTTTATTTGTATTTGTTGTTGAACCAATTGTCCAATCAAGAGGGGGGCTGGTAAATTGCGCTGTTATCGTCGTTATTGTTCGTGAGTTAAGGTCCTGTAAGACATGCGTCCTGACTTTATATATTGTGGTTCATGTTCCTTAGAATTTCCCCTTTCTGAGCTAACGTTTTTCATTGAACACAAACGTTCTACTTGTTCGAATTCTTTATATGAAAGCAAATATGAAGATTTGCAGTGCTCTCTCTGTGTTCGGAGTTTTCACACTCCTTGGCCTCTTCTCTTTCATGCCCAAAATGATCATGGAATTAAATTGGTAAGGAATCTCAACTGTTCCAGGAAAAGCAGTTGTCAACCGGATGGTGGTCTCAAAACTCCACTTTCCTCTTTTGAACAGATGGATGACTCTGCTAACGATCATATATGTGGTTCCCATGGGCGGGACACTTCATTATTAAACGTTGTCTTGGATGAGCTCCCTCAAGAAATGTGCAAATCGAATGACTTCACTCTGAAACCTCTTGCTATACCCGCCTCACCGTCATCTACGACACCCCAAGTTCCCAAGTCTCCGTGTTGTGCCTCCTCACGGGAAGCCGGAAATTCTTGTTCTCAGTTTCACGACCTTTCATACGTTCCTCACGTATGCAGCACTCTAAATATGGCTCTAAATTTGGAGGATAGCTTGCGCCTTATTCATGGAATCGCATGCAGTAAACTGGACATGCATCTGCGGCAGATGACATCAGTTGACGTCACTAATGCCTCCTCTTCATATGCTCTAAGTTTGTGCTGTTCACGGACGGGCGTTTCATGCTTGTGTGCAGTTGGTCCGTGCTCTTGCAGTTCAGCTCTTCCTTCATCTTCGCCTCAACAACTGACGGCGTCGGCTTCATGTCAGACCGATGACTTGACTGATACACATGCACTTGAAGCACTTTCACCATCAAGCCTCTTTTCTTTATCTGAAAAGCAGTCGGTAGACCTTGATAAGGCTACAATTTCTCAGGATCTCAGTTTCCTTAACAGTCTTATCCAACCATCGAGTTCTGCCTCCTCGACCAATGACTTGTCAATCCAACCTGCTCCTCAAACCCTTGTCGATCCTCCTCCGGTGGGCAAGAATATTTGTCCCTCAAAAATGTTGCCTTTTAGTTGTTCTTTCTGTGGCCGTATTTATCGCCAGAAGGTTCACCTGCGTAAGCACGTAATGGCTCAGCACACTAAACAGAAACCCTTTTTCTGTCCCCACTGTGCTTACACCACTGTGGAGAAGAGTCATCTCACTGTGCACATACGAACACATACGGGAGAGAGGCCCTATATCTGTCGAGTGTGTCATTACTCCTCCTCACAAAACTGCACTCTGAAGTCGCATTACCTGCGAAAGCATCCAGAGAGTAAGATTAACTGTGTGACCTGTGGTGGAACCTATGTCACGGAGCTGGAGTATCAGAATCATTTGAAAAATTGTGTTTCCACATTCGACCGAACTTTATGATGTTCTATTTCCTGTCTATGTTTTGTTTTGGTCCTTTCCCCTCCAGGCAAGCCTTCTCTATCTTGGCATTTATTTTGCACATAAAGGAGAATGCCAAATATCAATGAACCTTTTTTCGGTTTTGCTTTTAAGCGTCGATGCAGGTTGGGCCTATTTAATTTCTGAAGTCACCGTTCACTTTGCTGTTTGAACTCTGTAATTGTTGGTCATTTCTAGTACTGTCTTGTGGAATTGGTTTGGTTTCAGGTTACGTGTTATCTGATTTTTCGAAAACGAAAGGCATCCTCGGTAAAGGAAGGCATGTTCTGCATCTTCCGTTCACCTCTGTCAAGAGTTTCTCGTGGAATCTGGAAACTCCCGAGATTGGAACTACAGCCATGATTAAGATTCGTGGTGATGAGGCAAAACTATCCGACGTGAAAGACGTTCCCATTCGGGTGTCCATTTGGATTTGTTGTAGCAAGGGTTTTCTTAGTGTAAACTTGTACTGTTCCGGTGTTTATTTGTAAAAAGTGACAGTTATTGACTCCTACTCGGCCCTTGGTCGTAAACTAGTGTCGGTTGAGACCGGATGTGAATGACGATTTAGCCTTAAAAGCGATATAAAAGCAAGTCGATCACCAGCTCCAAATGTTGCTTTTGTTGATAAAGCTTTGGGAAATCCGAGCTAGTGCAAATATGGCTCACTCGGACAGTCTTGGCTATCAATCGTTGAACTTCAGGACTTGCAGGTCTCCCGATCACTCCCTATGTTTTCTGATGTCCATTAGGAGTGCTTTTTCCACTGCCTCTGGCAACGGCTGCTCAGCAAGTAACTCTATTTCTTGCCCTTTTATTTTACTTTGGGAGCACATCTGGTACTTTACTCTCGCTTAACCACCTCAAAAGGTTCCAAGTTGTATAAGTCGTTTACTGGAACAAATTAGCCTTTTTTCATTCGGTTACCGTCGGCTGAGATGATTTAGTGGTTTTACTGACATGGTCACTTTTTAAAGTATTCATCGTCCGCTGTGAAGTCAGTATTTATTCAATTTCACATAATGGGTGTATGAGTGGAAGCAAGTACTATCTTCACCTCACCCCGTAGTTGTGCAATGACATTTGCATGTCGGATGTCTTTGGCATTGTTCACGCGCTTTCAGGAATTACTTGCTCCAGACTGGAGGTTTTTTTTAGCTCTAGTTACCTTTATCTGGATACCGCATTCTAAACTATCCCAATCAGACAACAATTTAATCGCTTCTTCCAGCTCCTCTGCTCACTTGTAAGGCTTTGAACTAATAAAAGTGCAATGGTTAAATTGAGGTTACTTCTTTTTGGATCGCGCCATGCGTAAATGTATGCTTCGTTGACCATGAAATTTCCCCAGAACATCTGGTTTGTGGCTCCCACTAGATGCAAGATGAATGTCTCCAAAGGGTTTACCTTTAGTCACGCACTTTTTCCATAGCAAGCACAATCCTCGACTTAAAAGTGCTCCTTTGAGATCTGCAAATTGAATGCGTTATTGCCTTTGATTAGCTTTGAGTGGAATGACCTTTGCCTCCATCTCGCAGTACTTCATTCTTTATTCGCCAATTGCTACTACGACAGTCTCCAAACTTGTCCTGAATTTCTACTTTGTTATATGTTGCACAGTATCTTCTGAACTCGCGGAAGAAATAATACGTTGTTGTTCCGGTGCACAAGCAGTTCAATTAAGCTGAGTTTTTTTCTTACACCTTGAGAAGTGATGTCGACTTCTTGGTGCCTCTTTTGGCTACTTGATTAAACTTTTCATCTTTGACTGGGCTTAAAGGAAATGCTAATGACAACGTTTTTCAGTGGAATCAAGTTGAAAGATACTGAATGATCCATTTCAAATGGTCGGATTTTTTTGTTGACACTCAGAAATGAGGTATGCTAACTTGACTTCACAAATCCTTGTGTATTACTCATGTGTGCAAGTGCTTCCTTTAAGTGTAAAGTGGTCACTTCACACCATCTCTGTGACTGGGCTGGCTTCATCCATCCCCAGGAATATGGCTAACTCATTTGTAGACATTGCCAGGCCATACACATACGAGATTGTCTTCCTCTAAGGAAAGCCATGGAAGCAAAATTAGCCTTACAAAATGGATCTTAACTTTGTTCTTTTTTAAGTCACCACATCAATTCTAGTAAGTCTAAGGGGTGTGGGTTGTAAGTAAAGATAGTAGGCCATCCTTACTTCTGCTACAACATTATGATGCAATATTGCTATCCATTATCGGGATTACTTTATGGTACAGACGCTCATTTTAGAGAATTACGAACTGTCAGATCAGGTCCAGTGACTTAACACAGCTTTGCATCTTGACCTCAATTCAGCAAAGCTTGCGAAATACCAATGCAAAACGTTGTCTGGGCTTAACAGAAAGTGGCTTTAAGACGCGTACCCTCACTTACAGTGCGAACAGTCGGTATTTACCAGTGGTTATCTTTATTCTGCCAAACTCGTGCGGTGGTAAAACAATCAAGGCTCTTGTCTGTCACACGAGATGTAGAATACGTCCAACAATTCTGCCTTGTGCTTCCGAAAACAGATGCACACTTCCCATTCCTTTACCCTTCTATCGTGCCTTGCGTACTTTCACATATTTCAGCGTCGCTTTTAACTACCTATTCCAGGTTGAATTTTAATAATAGCGGCATGCCATTGTTAGTGGTGTAGACTTAATGTTAGCATTGCAATGTTTTGGCCGCCACTTTGTTCTAGCCATTTAGACTGGCCTCCGGCTCATGTCCAAGTATTACAGGTTCTCTTATCGTCAAATAATATCAACCTAGATTTTCACTACTGAATAATAAATCCTAGCAGGAGTAAATGGTTCCAATGGAAAAGCGCTAGTGAGCTCCACCAAAAAAACTACAACGGCTGTCCTAGTTCTGCAGCTTTTGAGAAACTGAGAATGAAGACATGCTAGCTGGAGTACATGCAGAAGAGTTGGCTACGGAACTGTCTGCCGTTCTTATGTCAAGATTTTAACTAAACGAACACTAGCCGGGTGGATATGGTTTGAGCTGGTGTAAAGAAAATGCTAGAGAAGAAGAATAGCGACAAAAGCCATGCGTAAATCTATCCTTTGCTACATGGATCTGCTCTTCGATTGGTATGAATTACCACATTTCCTATCCCTGATCCAATTTCCTTACAGAGCCACCTCTTAAGGCTGCGTACGAGTGTCGTCTTGGTTGCACAGAACTCTAATTACTGGCACGGTAGTTTTGCGGATTTCTTTCAGCCCCAACTGCGTCACGATGGCTGGCATGGGAGGTTGATCAGAGGGAGCCAAAAACAACTCTCAAAAGTGTACCACACTGATTTCTTATTCAATAGTTGGTTTTGATAGAGTCCGATTCTCACCTCCCCTATTGTACTTTGGTTAGAAAAACTGGCCCCAGTCCATGTCAAAACCTCGAACCCCACCATAGTTATCCATGTACGCCCTAACCACATTCGCAAATATTTTATCACAAATCAAATAGTGTGTTATTATTAGTCTTACTTTCAAGGAGGACTCCAAGTGAGTTCCATCTCTTTCCACTTTTTTGCGAAAATTGGTAGAGAAATCGCAACTTGAGGCCTATCCACTCTCTCCAAAACGACATAAATGGTTACGATTTTTACATAAGGGATTAAGTTTCATTTTTAGTTTTTAAAAATTGTTATTGTTAAATCAACGCTAGGAAAGAGAGCAATGACTTAAGTAATAAAACCAACGTCATAATCTATACGAGCAAAAACCGCTTCTTGCAAAATGCAACAACTGAGCTACATGTGACAGGATTTATCGTCAAAATAAGCAAATGAACTTGCCGTTTACAAGGCAAACAAATGACTTCCGGTGCGCAAAAATTACCGGAATACGAAAATTACCTGCGTCTACATCGAACAGTTAAGGCTTCCAACTACGATAGAGGAGGCTGGGATGGGCAGTGGACTGGGAGTGTGAAAAGCTGAATAATGAAAGGGTTGAAGTCTTTCACAAAATTGAGCAGAAGCACAGAACAAATGCAAACTACGTGTTCGGCCATAGGGTCACGTTTAGATACGCAGGGTGGGTAACATGGCACTCCCTTCACCTCGGGTCACAGTTCGCCCTTTTCACGCAACCCTAGTCAGCACGTGAGCTGTTGGGTGGCATTAAGGCAAGCCGTGCAGCAGTCGATCAGGGACTGTTCGAGAGGAAGCTCTCTCTGAAGGCTCATATATGATGCTCAGTCTAGCATCGCACTTATCTCGTCACCTCAGAGGTAATTACATTTATGAACGAAATTCTTTCCAATTGTCTAAATGCCCTTGAAATTCTTCGTAGAGTTTGCAAACCTCTGAATCCTTGGTCTACCTCAAAGTCGTCATTAAATAAGGGGACAAGACAGGTACTTCGTTTTCATACCAGAATCCATAGAGGGTACTATTTTTGACTCGTTTATTTGTTCTTGAATTTTCCACTCCTCACTGATTCCACAATCATCCCCAACTTTAAGTGGGAGATATGCTAACATTAAGGCTCAATATTTCGCATTGTCTCTAAGACTGAACGCAAATGTTGTCAAAAGTAATACCAAGATCGCTTAATAGAATTGAAGTTAAAATGAGGTATCAATAAGAGCTAACATGTTTCTAGGTCATTTTGACCTAATGACAAGGGTCGTAAAGAGGTGCACATAACACCCGTAGCGAAGGCGGTTTTTTTGCGACAGTTACAAATACGATGTTGGACTGACCGTTACAAGTGAACTTCATTTAAATTCATAGAAACCAGTGAGCGAAAAATAACTCAATCACTCTAACTTCGAAAGAGCCAAAGTATCGTTTACACCTTCGATCCTACAAGTACAAATGAGAACAAAAATGACTCCTCAGGACTACATTCCATACGTTCTTATAGTCTGTCTATAGCCCTAGTAAGCCTCATGCATGGCAAGGAAGCAGCAACAGCGATCCTCCAATGGCAGCCCATGTTGACAGCTAGTAAGTAATGCAGTGAGCTCGAAATTATTTGAAGGCTTAACTCAAGCAAACACATAAATAAGTAAAAATGGAGCATATGCATAATATAGGACCGACTAAGCCACAATTTTTGAGAATGAGGCGCGAAATTTCCCTTAAAATATCTACATGAAAATTTGGCGACTTTTAATCACTCCCAAACTTAGGGCCGAGCGAAATCACACTTAAGTATCGCAGAACATGCAATTTTTCATGTAAATCATGGACAGATGATTTAATTCTTCTGTCAACTTCGAAAACGCGCAAATGACATAGTCAAAGAAGTAGTAAAGAAATGTATGCAAACGAATACGTTTACCCTTTTGTCGTACTACATAGCTCATTTGGGTTAAATATGTACATTGGGTGTTACATAGATCACAGGTCACTTTCATCATCGTAAAAATCTAAAAAGTTAATAGACTGTTCTTTGGTTACTACACCATTTGGCGTGAAACTGTACTTCGAGTAACTGCCGTCCGCTGCGAGGACTAAAAAATTAAAACACGATTGCTACTTAATGCTAAAAAGTAGGATGAGCTGAAGGTCTTGGTCTCACCGATCAAAGTGTCTGGATTGGATGAACTAAACGCGCAGACCACTTTGAATTTGGTATTTAAAGCGAACCGTATTTGACTGACCGTAGAGAAGAAATATCGCGGTAAAAAAGCAGCCGATCTACAGGCAAGAAAGGAAAACCGCAACATTAATAACACGTGAATTGTCTACTAAAATCCTTGCGCAAACCTTTTCACACATTACATTAGAAAAAAAGACAATGACTTCCACACAAAGGAATTGGAGAACTAAAAAAACGCGTTGGAACTTGACACGAGTACCAGACCCCATAAAAGCTATTAAAAACAAAGTCGATTGTTTATTGGGTGTGTCAAGCTGCACCTTCCTTCCTGTGGTGATCTTTACTTTACCACGGAAGGGAAGGTCACGCATCACGCGCCAGACTATAGTGCGTCACAGTAGATGAACAGAAAAAAACAGAACAGTGTAATGAATAAAAACATTCCATATGATAAACAACAATTAAATTGAAATGTAATTCAGGTGGGAAGATTTGTAAACAAAGCAGCAAATAGTCCACGCAAACAACTTGAAATCATAAAATGGAATAGAAGACTACTCTTAGACTAAAATGCTCTTAACCCACGTGGCACACCACGAATGTCGAGGCCAAATTTATTCGAACAGCAAAAAGGTACATGACCCAATCTTCGTTCATCTTGTCGAGTTAAGACAACTGAGAACGCCACAGAGCTACCGAAAGACGAGAAATCATGCATCCAAAGGGTTGCCAAAGATAAAGATAAAGTGATCCCTAATCAGACTGAAGAGTGGAAACTACAAAAAACATTCTTCGAGGAAATTGTTGAGATCTGAAGCATCCACAACAAACGATTGCAACTAAAACAAGTAACCACAAGCACGAAATTGATCCAGTTTGTAGTAATGAATTTGGCCAAATTTTAGCTTCCAGCTTTCCCACAGTATTGCTGTTTGTCCTTTAAGTTCATTAAAAAAACAATTTAGTAGTCCTTTAATTTGTAGTGTAAAGACAAGGCAAGTCATCCCCGACATTCCAACATCCAGTGAGTCCAGTAACTTTAATTCCTAATATTAATGTATACTACAAAACCAAAGAATTCTACGCGCATCAATGTCCATAACTTTACCTATAGGCACTTTTTTCATTAAAAAAGAATCACCAAAGCAAAGGCCATAGTCTTATTTGAATCCGATACCTTCCCACCAGGAAAGAAACTCAAACACCTCAACACCTATACTTTTTTTGGTTCCGCCTTGCTTTTGAAGGAACAATAACAGCAGTCTCATATGAGCATGCGCAACGAGTAGAAGAGTTCATATTATGGGGAGTATTAACGGATTTTTCCATGTAAACAGGTCTGAGTCAAATGAAGCCCTGTGTCCCGAACGCACAGTCATCATTTGAGGAACAAGTACGACGAAATTAACTATTGTAATCAACTAAGGTGGTTCCAAAATAGATAGCTTATGGAATCGGTTATTCTACCTCAGAAACACAGGAGGCATAGGACTGTATTTCCGAAAAAAAATATACTACCCTTCTTACCGAATGCCATAGGATGTTTGACATACCACTGAATTAATTTTTGATTCAGCAAGAGTCCCAAAGAGAAAATGAAAAAAATGATCCCCATAACCAAATGAGATAGTGGGTTTAAACAACCAACAGCTTAATAAATCATCCCGGTAGGCGTCTATACCGATAAGCTTGTCCAGCCATCTATTTGAGAGCTGAGTAAATGGTAGGGGTCGCGAATTTGAGACTCTAAGGTAAGGTCACGGCTGAAAACGGCTTAGATGCACCGAGAGGCCCAATGTCAAGAAGTACGAACTAAGACATATACAAGCTAATCATCCGAATAGAAATCCAACACCAACTGGACAGAGCATGTATTGAAAACCACTTTTAGTTTAAAAACCTTAGCATTTCTTAAAGCTTGAGGCAATAAGACTGCTTGCGTTACCACCTTTGACACTAAAGAAATCTGATTTTGCACATCGAATCTAGACATCCTGTTGGCCGAATAGTTGATTAAATAACATTTAAACCTCAGAGATAATTAGAAGGACTCACTTGGCAGCTTGAAATGCTTGACGGGTTAAGTCCTGTCCCAGAGGGAGACGTCGAGAGCTGACTGTACCACTTCCAACACCACTGACACCACCAACAGACCATGACGTTTCTTTCTCAACTGAATCGAGGGAGAAGACGTGAAGAGTACCATGATCGCTAGCGACAGCTAGCCGACGTGCGGCAGAGGCAGCAGCATGATCAAAGGCTATACAGGTGATAAGTGCAGCATTTGAACCACGACGCAGCTCGTGGAGAAGTTCACACGAGCGAGTATCAAAGACGCGAACAAGAGTACCACGCTGAGAAGCGGTGGCTAGTTGTTCCCCATCTGCGGTCATTGTCAGGGCTACCAGCGGGTTTTGGTGAGCCGACAGATGACGTGGCGGTGGTGCCACCGTTGTTGAAGCAGTTAATGGTGACGTGACTAGCGTCACCATCCCCACTCGCCGACCGGGGAAGGCGATAATAGGGTTCTCGGGGTTCTGACAGACATGACAGAGACCTTGAGGATTCGATGCTGTCTCCGTCTGGTAGAGAAGCTCTGGGCAGGAGCCGAAGGTGTAAACCTTTACCGCGTTCACGAGAACCACAGCGATCCTGGATTTGAATAATAAGCATAAGAGCTAGATAAGATGTCAAAGGAAACTAGGTTCTTAAGTAAACCAAGGCCTAAAAGATACAATTTCCATAAGTGCGCTTGAAACTTCCAATAATAATTAAATAATAATCAAATTGGAAAGCAGAAGCAGAATCAATAAGAGGGCGTAGCCACAGAACAGCTAGGCTTTAAGTCGTAAAATGCGAATGGAACCAAACATCCATACTATTAACTTCAGCTCTTCAGAATAATTTTTTGTAAAAGTGATTGAAGTACATGTCAGAAATGCAACTCACAGGTCTTTGCGAAGTCTTATGGCACGAACGTCGCTTCCATAGGCGAGTTCAAGAATAACTTTTTGTTCAACACCATCCCATACCCAGGCGGTGTCGCTGGGTATCCTAGACTGGCGCCCGCCACCAAGAAGGCCAAGAAAACTACTTCGATGGAGCATTTCGACGAAGCCAACTCCGGAACCCTCACACTGGTGAAACTCTAGAATGGCATAAGGGAAAATGTAGATAGTAATCAACACCGAAGAAAAGCAGGGCTAGGCAAACGGTAAACTGGACACAATGAATAGATGCTAAGAGTTTAGTGCGGACGAACTCACCACAGTTTTCGAGCTGTTTCAACGGATCGGTGTTGAATATCCGAAAACCATTTTGCATACCGACTGCAAAGCACCCTAGAAAGAGCTCACACGAATATCAGCAACTAACCATAGTCCTGATTGAAACCTATAAACGTTATCGGGGCATTTCCACTCTCACATGGCGAAACACGGAAGGACATCGCTCGACACAAGCCCTACCACCTCACCCCTTCAAAGGGACGCGTTTTGTTTATAATTTGTGAAGCTGCAATTAACATTATATATAATCTAAGATTAGCATTTATGCATTCACTTTAAATTGGAGCCATAAAATTCAACTATGGCTTTTTGCATTGAGAGTGTAAGCATGTTATTGTTTTATTTCTTTAACTGATTTCGCTAGCTTGACTTTCCCTTGCGATAAAGACTTACATAATTTGGCAAATAATATATTGTTAACAGCTTTTAATTAAAATCAACAAACACATCTTAAAGTTGGATTACGTGATAGAACTCCCTTAATATATTTTGCTTTCAAATTACTTGGTAATGTCGGCCAAACTGACAGCTCTGGCTAAAATCTGCTCTGGGCAGAACAGATCCATCGTGTAGATCCTCGCGCTACTTTAGCTTTGCTAACGCACTCTATCTCTGATTGCTAGAAGAATCATGGTAAACGCTGACATTTTGTTTGTGTCCACCTGATTCCTCACTATTACTTTGATGCTTGTCTTGCCAAGCCAAGACCAATCCATTCTTCGCCCATAATGCATGTATTTATTCCTACTTGATGTCTTCTGCTTCGACCTGGTGGGGAGCAACGGAACTTTCATACAGAAAGTGTAGGGGTAGGAATTTAGCATAATGAGAAGGTCTGCCCGTCAAGCAGAAGCATGATGGTTCCCAAAACGCTTGTTACTCCCACGAATAACTACTGTAATATATACTAATTTGTTCAAGTGTACTCTGATAGGTGAGAGGCGGGAACCAATTGGGAACGTGAATCACGAACGTGAGGTCGGCGAGGAGTCTCCCTCCAATTTATATCTTCCACTCCCCTCATCTGTATCCCATTCCCCATCCTCCCTAATAGCAATGCCTAATAAATCGTCTGCAACCAACTTCCTCTTGAAGTCTGAGGATCAGGGACCAGAGGGTAGACAGGCAGTTCCTAAAACTACCCCGCCAGACTCTATTGCTACTTAATATTTACATTTACACTTACCACATGAAATCAACTGAAGAAGTGTTTCCTTCACCGCGCATGAGTAATTAAAGACAAATAGTTTCGACCATTGTATTCGGAAGTGACTTACTCTTCCAGTTGTCTTAAGAGAACCATCTCCTGATATACAGTCAAATCAATTCGAAGGGGGAAACACAAACCACTATACCCATGTGGAGGAGTAAGTCTGGTGCTCTGAATCTGTGCGCGCTCGGTGTCCGCATCAGAAAAAAAACAAAATATTTCTAGAGGCTTTTTCTTTAAAATATCATGTTCATATATGCATGTGACACCGAATTTCTACTACTTGTTCCTGTAGTGTAGTGGTGTTAACCACAATTTAGCTTGTTAACTTGTTGGCGTTTGTATTTTTCTTCTGCAAACAAGAAATTGCAATGTGTGATGTACGAAAGCAAAAGTGATTGTGACCTTTCACTTACCCAGACCCGCAACCAGACTATCCAATTGTACAACTCTCTTCTCCATGTCGCCTATGTTCTCTAAGATTTTGTCAAGCATCTCCAAATGCTTGGCTAATGCTAAGCCTGAAAGGAGGCAGAAAGAAGGTCAGGTTTTTCCTCAAACGACAGCTCGCATCTTCACTTAATTACTTATAGCTCCGTGTGAATAAATGAACCTGGGCGACGATGACTGTATTGAACTGTGTCAACAGTAAGGCCAGAATTAGGTTACTACTTAACTAGATGAGGAGCGCAGAATACTCACATTGTTCATTTATTGGGGTCATCTTTTCTTCGAAAGATTTAGTAGCCTCTGCTATCCTGCTGTACTTATTGTACGCTGCTGTGTTGAGGTCATTGAGATGGGATATCCTATCAGCATTTACTACAACAAACGAAGAGTTGTTGGTCAATCCAGAGGAGAGCTGGCTGAGTTCAAAACTAGTGTCGATTATATCAAAACGTTGTCGTACCTGTAGATGTGTGGGAAAAGGAATGATCTGAACCAGCTGGGGTTGAATATGTGGTTATGTAGTGCTATGCCTCATGTTAATTTAAAACATCTCAAAAGAGTTCTAAGACATCCAACAAAGCGGTCATACGAGTTCATGGTGAATAAGTCCTCAAAGTATAAGCCTACATAATTCACTCCATTCAAATAAAGAAGGAAGACGTGTAAAACATAAAGACTTTTAAATGGACTAGGTATTAAAAAAGAAGTGCCTGCCTGAGAGTGCCCTTTGAAAGTAGTCAGAGAGGGCCTCAGTAGCCTTATTGGCGGTACTGGAAGTACAGTCTCGATCGGCTGTACTCATCTGTGGATCGGTCATTTCTACGAAATCAAAAGGCCTGAAATAGAATTCCATGAAGGCCAATGGTTTTGTATGGCAGGGATAAAACCATCGTATTCTGTATGGATGTCTAAATGAAGGGTCGCCAAAACTCTATCATAGCCAGGAACAGGCACAATACTGCTTTTGCAGGGCAAGGGTTGAAAACCTCAAAATGATGCATTAAGAACAGCGGCTTTGATACAAAATTGATCAACGGTAGCAACAAAACTGTGTTTGAGTCATGAGCAGCTATCTTTCACCCATCTTGAATAATTCGTTGGAGCTTCTCTAACGATTTTCTTCAAATATTGTAGAAGTGTGAGCAAAAAAATAAGTAAGCCTAACTGCAGCTTGCCATGCCATCCAGTTCAGCAAACAGCTTAGCATAATAAACCTGCTGATGCATTACCAACTCATTCCTCCACCTAAAAGAAGTTATTTTGGGAATGATACCAGACCGCATTCCTGTCTTCCAAGCCATGCAAAGTGGAGACCTCAGTTTAAAGGGTTGAAGTACCGAACGCTCAACCATGGGCTAATTGACAGTAGAGTCAGGTGCTACTGTCTCAAGCCACATCGGACAAACTTTTAGCGCATGGTTTCGCATCCTTGATCAGTATGGTCAAATTATCTACGACCTGGTGACAAGACTGTGCAACAAAGTGCAAAGGAAAAAACACCTATGGTCCAAAGTTTGAGTAATGGTGAGGGTTTGATAATGGAATGGAAAAGAAAAGGGTCAATATCTGATTGAAATGCGATCAAACTGCGGTATCATGAATAGACCCTAGCGATACAACAGTCAATGGCACAACAAATTGGAGGAATATAAGAGTATTCTTACAAATTTATTCACAAAGTAAAATGTACAAAGAGGCGGGGTTGAAAAGTGGGCTGGAGTCTATTTGAGTTCGTGCAAGGAGGTTTCGCTGGTGGCAGCAGGTGCCTCAGATTCAACCACAGAACGCGCATCTGCATCCTCCTGCGATTCACATCCTCCTCCTTCCTCCGCCACCGCCTGTTGGCTCAGCCTCGTCAAGGCCGCAGTTATCAAAGAATCGGATTGACCGGGATAAACTTTTTCATATTCCTCCTTTAATGTGAATATCCAATCAGAAGCATAATGATAACCGATGTGCACTAAGCCTAGGGCAAACGCTACGCCAGACGTTAACTACTGCATTTGCTTTGCCGTGGTTTTTAAAAATTCAAAAGACGTTACCACTTCAAGATTCTGAGTTTCTACGGCAAATATTCCCATTCTGTTCGTGAAGTTCTAGAAACATCCTTTACGATCCAAATGCTAGACTTTTCTTTGCCTACCAAGTCAGTTGTGGAGAACAGTAAGCGAAATGCAGAAACCCTTCGTGCGTTTTCATGACGTACGCAGTGCGGCTCTGTTTGAGTTTCTTAGCTGGAATATTAACCAGTTAACGGCGAGCGCTAACCTTTAGTATTTGTGCTCACGTTCAGGCTGTTCATAACTTTACTATTGGGAATTCCTGAACCAAAATACAAAACGACACACGTTCCCATGGCATTAATTTCTTTCAAACAAAAAAATAACGAGAAAAGGGGAAAATTCGCAACAACCAAGTATCATAGGTGTTTATGTTTTGGGTGAGGTTTAAATGTCAAAATGTTACTCGCTTGATAAACCGAAAAAATGGCCTCTACACTTTATTCATAGCACAGTCTACCAAAGACACCGAGATCAACAGTGAATCTAGAGGTAACCAAGCCCAGACCTGCTTAACTCTGGGACTCAAGCAACAGAAAACGCGGCCAGTAGTTTGAACACCAAGCTATCGAATTTCGGAACAACGGTTGCATGAATGAGCAAAGTTTAGCCTACCACTCATGGAGAGGTGGGGAAGGCCGATTGGTAAGTGCTTCAGACAAACCCCCAAATGTGTAAACGGATCTACTTCGTACCTTGAGGGCAGTGACGAGCGCTTCAGCTTTGTTCAGCTGCTTCTTCAATGTGAAGAGACTGCTCTGAACGCCATCCAGATCTGTAGAAGATTCTTGAAGGACCGCATTAAGTTCTACACCAAGTAGGAAAATAGCGATAAGTAGAAACCTTTAATCCGTAAATAAGATGTCCTGAGGTACTCCAGCTGAAGCGATTTTGGTAAGATAAGGAATAGCCTAAGCTATTGATACCTGTAACTACTACGATTATAAACAACAAATGCTAGTTGTTTTAAATGCTGGAAGAACGCATAACATTGCAATCTCAGAATTACAATGTATCTCTGGTAGATGGCGCAAGAACAAGAAAGTTGCGTTCAAGGCGGTAATGAAACGAACCGGCGACCCATTTCAGCTCGGTACGTGGGATAAACAAAGCACATTTCTAAACTAACCTTGAGCAGTTTTCATATATTCTCGAATGCACGAGACCTGCATCTGCGTTTCTGACTCCAAGGCCGAAAGGCGATCCATCTGGTTGATAGCGCCCAGGTGTTTATTCCGTTCTAGCAACTCCCGCATGCAAGCCATAAGACGCTTTCCAGATGCACTGTAGAAGAGAGGAGAGGAACAGCACGACTTTAACAGAGTATGCTAAAGGCATTCAAGACTGGAAGAGGTTTAGTGAAGAGAACAAAAGGTTCAATATTTGACAAATGGACTGGTCAAGCTGACATCTCAATCCCTTAAAAGGGGACGGGAAACAGAATTCCGACCGTCCTTACTTAAGATGATGATTAAATGACTTCAATGTTTAAGAAAGAGGTAGAGCTGCTTCGCGACCAAAAGTAGAATGAATATCCCGGACAACATAGAATCCAACAACAACGAAACGAGCTGAAATGAACAACTAATCACAGATGAAGCAGTGTACCTTGAGATATCCAGTAACTATGGGTTAGATCCCTTACGAGGTTCGCTTCAAGTACTACAATTGGTTTCAGAACAAAGTTGTTGCTCAAACAATGCAATAGAATTAAGAGTTCTACTTCAAGATCTCAAGCCGCTCAAGTTGATATGACCAATAATTCACCAAGGGATAATGAAATTCATATGCAAGCAATTCACATCATTGTAGCCATAAAGTAACATATAAATTATCAGAATGAAAAAATTACCTATCAGGAGTGAACTTCCATGCGATAAGGTCATCAAAACTCTGCTGTAGACGCATTTTACCCGACTGTGCTGCCTCGGAGGCCTTTTGATACACAAAATCAATGGCAGGGTCGAGGACATTCAGTTGATGGATTTGTTCCTTCACTTTTACGGATCTCACCTCCTCCCCATAATCATCAATAGAGTCTTCCACGCCTTCGGAGTCAAATTCTACATCCGAGGACTTTCGACGCAGTTTACTGGGCTGCAAAAGTGGAGTAAAGCAATATGACGTTCGATTTTGAAGACAAAAATAAAAATTTAGATAGGAACGGAAAATTCCTACCATGACCGACAAGATATGAGCCAATCGAGCATCGGTAACAATGAAACGACGAATTGCAGCTGCCTCCCTCCTGGATAAGTCCTCTTGCTGTGACTTTTGTTTTTCGACTAACATACAGAACAAACTGCTCAAGCATAGGTAGTTTTACTAAACTCAAACCTCGTGAAGTCAAGTAGGATGGAAAATCAATGTTAGTAACCCAATCAAATAAACGAAAGACATCCAAAAACGCACTTAGCTTCTCATTCTCCTCTTCAATCTTCTTGATTTTCGACTCCAGCTCCTTGATTGCAATAGTTTGTTCCTCAGCTCTAAAATAATAACTCGATGGAAGAAGGAACTCACAAAAGCTCCAAGTTAGCAAGTGAGTTTCTCGGTTGAGTTGAAGCCTCATTTGTGGTCATTGTCTGAGATACGCTAAGAAGAAGGAAAAGGATCAATCACTGATCGGAAAAAAATGTTATTCTTAAATAAAAACTAATCTTTCCGCCCCATGTATTCCGACACGCATTTACATAAAACCTGAAATACTCACCATCCAATCTCGAACACCAAAATGTAACATCTACCAATGACCTTGCTGCATAAATCGCTACACAGTGTTAAAAATTCGGAGCTAAGAACTGTTCGTTTGAAGTAGCGAAAAGAATCTAATCTAAGTAGTCAAGTCGGCACTATTTTAAGCGCATGTAAGTCATTAAGAATAAGAAAATATGATTGTGGCAACAGAAGTTTAATTGCTTCTAAGATTGCCAACCATGCAAAAAATAAAAATTTGACTGTTGCATTTAATAAATTGGCTAAGACGCCGATCTTGGTATGGGAAGAAACCATCCATCCGGCCATGGTTAAGAATGCTGCCCAAGAGCCCGCCAAATATGCAGGCAATCGAAAAATTCATACATTTTATGAGATCATTGAGGGTTCTTTAATGAAGTGTGCCCCGATTTGACACTTCTTACCTGGAAAAAAGAGATATTAAATGAAAACGAACGCACAAAATTTGCGAAGAGGAGAGCATATGATGCCTTGCTTGTGCGACGATTTAGCATCCAGCACTAATTTTTTGCGTTTGTTCTACTCTTGTACGCGTTGACTGGCCCTGTAATACCTTGTTTATGAGAACAAGTGATATAATATGGTCTCTAAAAGATTTGGCTGAGCCTTAAACGCATGAGCTAGCCCTAAGGCCATGCTCAGACCTTTAGCGTCCCGAGGCTTGCCATAGGGTTGAAGAAGGCGTAAGTGAGGTTGAATACATGTATTCCGAAGACTACAGGACAAGTGGGGCCTGAGCGTGGCTCGAAGGCCACTCCACGTGCAAAGGAGCCAGGCATACGCTAAAGTGACCGCCAAACGTCATGTGGTCATATAAACAAAGCATCACACTGTCCCTCTCTTCTTTTTACCAACGTCCTCAGTGCCTCCCCTTGGATACACCTCCCACGCCAGCCATCACAACATATTCGGTACTATATGAAAGCACCCACGAGCCAACTGCGCCAGTCGACAGACAACACGAGACTGAGGAACCGTACCTGGTCTTCTCGGCAGCTTCAACTGGATCTGGAGTTATGTTCGGTCTGACAAACAGATTTGAGACCGCATATACATGCTGACCATCAATTGCTTTCAGGAGTAGGCTGTGGAACTCTGGCCAAAAACATATATATATTTTACAGGAATAACGGAATGAGCCACTGTCCCGTACATAAGGAGAACCGTAGTGTCATTTTCGACACCTAAGCACGGAATTTGTATGGGAAATTCCGACGCGGAACTTTTCCACAGGGTTCACGGCGGTGTCGCTTCAGCTGTTAATAGCTCGTCTGTGAAAGACGGGAAGAAGGTGAAACCAAACGAAAAATCTAGCTCAATTCTTCCGTTGTAAAGGAATCAGAGGTTGCCCATCAACAAGGTAAATGCGCCTCCTTCAATCCACTACACTTCGATAGAGTCAGACTTCCTCCTACGCATGCATAGCTCATGATTGCCGGTGCACAACGCCAAAATGCGCTTATTAGTCTTGGGTTTCTCCACTTTGCAGTCTCGTCTGCTGGCTGGATTATAGGCTTCTTGTCGTGAAAAGAGAGGTTTCGATTTTCCGGCCAAGGGGACCCGATTTTGGGATATCTGCATGTATTCAAGCAGTGCATCATCTGATCGAAGCCTTGCTCGTCGGCTTGTTCGTACTGTTCTTTTGCGGAAGTCAGTCGATTAATTGGCAAAGTATAGCAACGCAAATGTAGGATGTCAGTAAGACAGCGGTGTCTGCTGAGCAATACATTTTCCCGCACACTATGTCGCCTTCTAAAGCACCTTACATCTTACTAAGTTGATCTGATTACATACATTTAGGAATGGAACATTGTCTAGCCTAAAGGCCAACCCATGCGCACAAGGACAAGGATAATACCAAAGTAGCCGCCAGATATCGAGCCACATAAACAAAGTATTCAAGTCATAATCTCGATGCTACCACTGACCATACAGGTGGGCTCCCCACAAGTACGTTCCACCATGTGATTCAAAGTACAATATCCACCAATTAATTAGTTTTCCGTTTTTTTAAATTGTAGGACTAGCCTTTGCAGTTGCTCTCTCAGGGAATGGACTGGCACTCAGACCTAACTATTCTGCACATTGTGCATAGTAATTTCACTAGGGCTATGTATTCTAGCATGTACAAAGATTAAAGCATTTAATACCCATTCGAAATGACGGCGCACGCGTTTCACTCTGCTGGTCCATCCCTCCTAAGAATTCCTCTTGATAGTATGATTGTTGGCAGTCTCCATAAACATGGTTGTAAAATACGTCAGCAATATAGTATTTAAGTTTGGAAGTGTGTGAAGTGAAGTAATTCGAGTATGTCAGATTGATTAGTGTTTTGTTAAGTGAGTTTTACTCGACAGCGACGCCGAGGACATAAAATTTGCCCGAGTGATTTGTTTGCACAGCATAATGCAGGAGAAATACCAACAAATGTCTTTAAATATTTACAACGACCCGTTTACAGCGCCGTTGTGCATTCAAGGAAAGCAGCCGCCACACATATACTAACTCTAAAACATTAGATACATAAGATTGGACGGCACCATTAATGGTAAGAAAGGTAGCAAAAGGAATGAAGTTTGGACGATTTAGACCGAGAAGCTTTAATCAACTTCGTCTTGACACTTGACTCTTTGAGACAGTTTGACCTCAACCAGTTGTAAACGTATATAAAGCTGAAAGTTAAATGCATGTATTGAAAAGAAACCTGCGGGGTGCTAAATTTTGTGATAGTAATATTTTGGGGCAGAACGTTAAACTGTACTTATGTTTTTCGGTAAATGCTAACGCTTTGTGACCACTGGCGTTTGGCGGCCACTTTAGAATTTGTCTGGCATCCGTTAACGTGAGCTGGCATTCGGGCCGCGCTCAGGCCCAGTCTGCTCTGTCGTCTTCGGAATACATGTATTCAACCTCACTTATGCCTTCTTCTACCCTAGGGGAAGTCTCGGGACGCTGCAACGGTATTAAGGAGCATGGGAAAATGGAAAGATGATCTCGTAACACATCAGGCGTCCTTTGACAGCTGCAAGACTCAGTGAACGGATTGCCCTATGTGGCCAATACTGAAGCCCAGCTAAACAAAAAAATTATTACTGCCTAGTTTTATGCCACCGCTTCTTTATTCTAACCACAAACATGTTTTTCCAATGTCACATTCTCCAGTCCACATTACATTTCTACACTATATAGATGTACGACTACAGCATCATGAGATGCAATGATTGGAACCTTAAAAAGCAGGATTTATAATATATACTGGTTGTTTAAATTTTGTTCTGTGGAAAAGAGACACAAAATCAGTTCCAAAGCTGCGGGTATGGAACACGACAACGCTTCTCAGAACCAACTTGTATAACTTAACTCTAGCCCGAATACCGCAGTCTGTACCGTCATAGCAATGCCAAATAAATAATCTTCCTGAGGGACTGAAGCCAAGGACGAAGAAAGGGAGAAACAAATAAAGCAGAAATGCGACCAAAGCTGGAAGAACATTCATAGGATGTCATGCAACACGATTTTTGGTTAATTATTCAATTTATCAAATAAAATCTTTGTGAACTTTTAAATAATCCTTAACTTTCACAACGAGATTTATTTAAGCAGGCGTAATGGATTGCAACACTCAATAAAATTTTACTTAAATTTTTGCAAATATTCGCGAGATAGAAAGTCAAAATTATTCTATGCGTGCTATATGCGGGCAAGCCAACTTAAGAAGAATCGCTTTGTTTATTATGCTATATAATATTTTATACTACATCAAATTTGGCCTAACCTGCCTATGTGGAAAGCTTATTGCCTTTGGCGGGATGTACGATATTTCGTCAGAGGCGCGATATTCGAGTGCTTCTGAAGTTGTTGAGTAGCTGGTTGTGCATTGTTGCTGTCTTTGCCACCTGGAAAGCGTTGGATTTTGTGGTCTTTGTCGTTCAGCTTCTATTATGTTGCATTTGCTCACAAATTTAAACTCCATGCTGCCATGCTAAATCTTTGGTTTAGCTTTCTCTTCTGCTAATATTCATTTTTTCTCTGCAGATTATGGTAATATTCTAAATTATGGCAGCCGATAACGTGACTCGAAGGTAAGTGAGTAAGCACACTCACTCCTTTAGACTTCAAATTGAACTGATGGAGCTGATGGTTGTTATGCCCCAATAAATTAATCTAACTTCTTAGACCTCTGAAGAGTCTGGTGTTTCAGGATTTCCCGAGAATGACAATATTATGAAGTGGTTGGCTACAATCCACGGACCCGAGAAGACGGTATTCTTTTCTCCTTCCTTAACTTCATCCGGACATTATATGCTCTTGCACCGAAGTTTTGGTTTAGGTATACGAAGGGGAGGTTTACAAACTTTCTCTCGAATTTGGAAGCTCATATCCCTACAAGCCTCCAGTTGTACGTTTTATATCACGCTGCTTTCATCCAAATGTCGACACTAACGGCAATATCTGCTTGGACATCCTCAGAGAGGAGTGGTCAGCCCTCTACACTGTGAAGAGTATTCTTCTATCTATTAGAAGTCTCCTCAGTGGTGCGTCATTCTGGCCTTGACTCTACTTTACTCACTCGTTGCTCATTACTTTCCGACTCATTAGACACGTTCTCGGTGTTCCTGTTAATAAATAGAAAGGTTTTAGCTTTTGATGCATGTGATTAGTAGTCCCGTCACTCTGATTTTTTATCATTCTGAAAATGGAAGCCTGATTTTGGTCACCTGCGGACTTCAGCGTTCGGAAACGATTAGCTCATTAGATAGAGCTTCGAGTGTCACTTGGGTTTTCGATTTCTTTTTGTGAATCCGTACCACTCCTATGTCTGATGGATTGTCCTTTCCTGTGCTGGTGGTGTAAAACGTAAGTTCGGGACTTTATCGACGATGCAGTGTTAGCCATTATGATCAAGTCCCATGTCTCCGCAAAGTAGGAATACTGAATCGAACCTGACCCTTCGGCTCAGCTTATGTGGTCTAGGTTTGGCGAATCCTTAGATTCGGGATCTCATCTTTTTAACTTATAAAGTAGACATTGCATTCCCTCTCCCTATTTCGATAATCTGGAAGTCTGTTTACTTCATACAGTGCGCCTATTTCTGTTATTTTCCATGCAGAACCAAATAACAGAAGTCCGATGAACAATCAAGCAGCGCTTCTATGGTCGGATCCGGAGAAGTTCCGAAAGGCTCTAGTCGAGTATCAATCTGTTAAATCCGAGCATTGATAAACATGTAATTTTTAGTCCTTACTTTCCCCCTCTAGCGACACTGGTGGCCTTCCCATTGTGCAAATTCATTCTATAAAGCTATATTTATACAATCTTTGGCTCTCCCATGTGTTCTTGCAATTATTGCACGTATTTCTGACCTGACAGGTTATCCTGGCCCGAGAGGGCTTTTCACTTTGCGGTCTCATGAGTCACCAGAGCTCCAGCAGATAGTGCCGGTCAGTGTCATGTCTGCTGATTATAAGCTTGCCTGTCACGACAACGGGCCACATTTTCTTTCTCAAATCTGCTAGTCTTACTTAGATGGGCCAGCTTATCGGTGTCCCCTCATTTCATTGGAGCTAAAAGCAGAATTGGCGGATTTCGGTATAAATCAGTCGCGTATGAGCTGGCAAGAGTAGCATCCACTGGAGTTCTTCACCATTATCTCGAGACAGAATGTGAATACCCCATAAGACATCATTATGCTGTTCGCAGGAGGACTGACTCTCGGTGGAATTTGTGAATGAACCCTAAAATGTGGACGCGTACGGCGGTTACTGTTGTCACCGATAGATAGGTACTTGATCCTTGGATGAGTTGAACCAGTTCTGGGATGTGCTTCTATGTTTCGTGCTACCTATTATGAACAATGGTGATCATTACAATCCCGTGAGCCTCCTAACTTAATGTGTGCAATCTATGCACATATGCTGTGCTAGCTCCCCGTTTGTGTTAGCTCGATAGCATTCCCATGATCTCGTATCTTCAAGCCCTGTAACGAGAAGGGTAACAGGGCTCTTATCCTGATTCAGCATCCTAGTTTTTTTTTGTCTGTTGTTTGCATTCGGTCATGGACGACGGGCTCAGTCGTGCACTCATCTTGGCCTCTACTTCAACGAAGTTTTTGACCCTAAGACTAACTCCGACGTTGCCGTACGTTAACATCGCAGCTGCTTTATTCGGCCTCTGCAGACGAGCAGTATGACCCACGTATCACCCGCACAACGGCTTGCTGGCATGATTACTGGTTTTTATTCGCCATCACGAACATCGACCACTTTTTTAATCAACACTTAACATTGAGTAGCGTCTTTTATCAGACAACCTGGAGCAGTCATCGAAGCACACATGATCGAGTGGACGTTAATTGGGATGAGAAACAATTTCAAGAAGCGGAGAATATCGCGCTCATTGTTAGCTGTTTCGATAATAATCGTCATTGTACTCAACAGCAGTTGTACGGAGTGGATCAAAAATGAGCCATGTAAGCATTCATCTCATCCCTCAATTTGAATAGGGTTGTTAAAATGGAAAAAAAAGAAAATGGAAGAGCAGGGTGGAAGTATTATGCTTCAGACTATGATAGAACAAGGATAAAAAGACAACTTTTGATGATGGGATTTTCGGTGATAACCGTAAGACAAGTGGATGGAGACTACATAGTAAAGACAAACAACATCAACGAAGCGCCGATTACTGAAACATTGGTGGTGCGATCGGTGAGTCCTATTTATTCTAAAGCGGAATACAAGAATTTGGTCAACACTAACCCCGCAAAACATGCTACTTAAATAAGAAAGTAACATTTTTAATTAGCACTAAATCAAGCATTGGACGAAGAGGGGAGCTCATTCAAATTCGTACAGTCAAATTGCTAGTCTGTGTAGCCAAGGGAGGAGCTTTTGGTGCTATTGAAAATGCAGTAGCAGTGCGAAATGCATCACGGTTCAAAAAACAGTAATGAAGAATAGTTGAAACCAGCACTAATTGCGCTTCATTTATGAGAAGCACGTGAACTGATTTCACTGTCGCAGAAGCGCCGAGCTGTGTGCTATACAAAGAAAGCTAAAGCTCTGTTGACTCATCTTGGTAAAAAAGGGCCACTTTTTTAAAAAAAATATTTGTAGTTTCATTGTGAAGGTAGTTTAAAGATAAAGTTTTAAACTGGTTTATTTAAAAAAAAGAATTTGGGCAGGCTAATATTATTAGAAGCTGCTCAGTAATCTAAAAACTAGAACAGCGCAGAAAACAGTAAAACACCATGTCAAATCCTACTTATCTACTAATGGTTTGGAATGAAAATTAGACGTTCTGTGACTAGTTAACTGAAAAGAAGTTTCATCGCCCAAGAAGAAGACATTTGAAATAACCACTGTAAAGTAATGGAAACAAAAACTAGAAGTTACCAACGGCAAAGTTTATAGTACCCTTATTAATTGCATGCCTAAAGTCGTCACCATGACCAGTGAAGAAGTGGTTAAACACAATAGTGGCGCCAGAAGTCGGGCCATACATGGACGTACCTTTGCCGAGCCACTACCCCAGCTGGACGAACCGCCACCTAAGCTCGAGGCGAGATTCGCAAGAGTGCTGTCCAGTTGATCCAATGGGTTTTCTTTCCTCTTCATCGCCTCTTTGTCAACCACCGCCGGTCGAATCACAACGTCTGCTGGTGCCGGCTTTAGGCCTATGATTGAAAAGGAGGAACTTGCTGTGGGTTTGCTACTTATACCCATCAGACTATTAATGCCATCGAAATGGCGAGCTAAAGAACGTAGGGTAAAGTTGATTCACTATTCCAGACCTAATTATTTCAAAGTTGAGTTGAAGAGCATACAGTATTTTTGATGCATTCGAAAATGTGCGATTGTATCTGGCACGAAGCACTTAACAAGGAGGGAATTTCGGGCTTCCTGAAACACCGAACATTCACAGTCAACGTAAGTTGATACTTGTTAAATAAAAAGGAAGACGTGAAGGGAAGGGTGTGCTACTTTAGCAGTGTCACAATACCTTCCTTGAATGCTTTCAAAAGAGTTGCTAATAATAGGTTTTGTAATATTTTACCCACGACTTAAACCGCGCTTAAGTTGCTATGCTCCTTTGAGCAACTTCCATCACGATTTTCTCTATCCCAAAGTCTGCTTAAAAAACGTAAAGGCGTATCTGATATGCCTAGCATTATGCTTGAAGGAAGGGATTTGAAAAATGCAGTTCGACTGAGCACTCACGAAGAGGGAGTGAGTAGTGAAGGAGTATTCCTATGAGTTAGGAAGCCAATAAAAAAGAAGCCGGAGAAATGAGGTTCTCTCAACAAGTCTTGATTATATGCAAACTTTCAAAGCAGATGGGAAGTCAATCCTGGCACTAATAGTGGTTAATGCAAATCATCAAACATAGGATCGTTTAGAGCCTCATGTAAACCATAAAACAACGGAAGACTCAATGATTCCGCGAACCCTTTTTGGATGCTTTCTTCCTCCATCTGAACTGCGATGAAGCGAGCTTCGGACATCTGGTAAGCTGTTCTCGTTCGTTGGCTCAAAATTTACTGCAATAAATTAATTTATTTTGATTTTAAATGAATAATAGAAACTAGCCCTTACTTTGCCCTAATGCTAAGAGTTGGTCAACATTCCGTTAGGAACCAGCAAAATCAGGCTGGAGCAGACTGATTAACGAAGAATGCATTCCTAACGACATTTTATTTGCAAAAGCAGAAATTTGTGCTCCTCGGGGTTGCTCGCACGCACGATCCACGTGACATTCCAAAAAGTGTTTGGCTCTGGATGTTAAGAAGCTGGAAACGCTAGATGTACTAGTGTATCAGTGAAGTGGTTTGACATTCCGCCCAACTGCGTGGTCAACTTTAAAGGCACTGCAGCGCCCACGGGATTCATTGCCACCCCTCGACATGAATGTTACAGTAGACTTCTATTTCTTCAGGACGGCAGTACCGATTACCCTCTCATAAGGCTCCGGTTCAGGTGAGAGATTTGAGTCGTCGTGCAAATTACGCCACATAAAAGGCGATTAAAGCACTTCGCATGGAAGTAACTTCCTATGGTCGGTAATGGTCCATTAATGCAAGTACATTTGCTGCCTAGATCGAGTCCATTTGCAAAAACCTAAAAACTCTCTTTGAGGATAACATTTTCGCTAAATCTACCAATATAAGGCCTTCAAAAACACGTTATTTCAGAAGAGAAGAAACAACAGTGCATAATACGGAGCTAGGCCATCTCTCAGCTTTAAAGTGGATAACAGCAACTTCAGCACAAAAGTTCATAATTTAGGGTCCAAATTTTCAAATAAAAGGCTAGTTTTTATTAGGGCTATTTAGCTTACACTAACACAATCAATGGCTTTAGTTTGAATCATTTCCCAGTTTTAATTTCAATTACAATTACTACAAAAATACAGTTTTTTATAAGAAAAAAGAGCGTAAAGGGTCCGGCGATTTCACTGATTGGAATAAGGAAAGGGGAATTTAATTTGGTGAGGAATGTGGATACCATACCAGGAGGCAGGCCAGTGTTCTCCGATTTTGGCGCAGGAGTAGGTGCAGGAACAGCGAAATCGGATCCATCGTCCATGAGTGGATCCAGTGAAAGAAGGTCGTCCAGCGCTTAAGGGAGCAAGTAAATCAAATAGAAACTGCTATAAACGTCCACTCCTTTCCAATCCCCTTTGTCAAGCAAACTAGTGAACCCAAGTGACTACTGCTTACGTCTGACCTCACATACCAATTTCATCAGCTACGAGATCTTTCCTTTTGATGATTTTTCAAAGAAAACAAAGCATTAGCCGGACATTTGAGTTCGCATATTGGTCCCTGCAAACCACAACGCACAGCAATGACAAAGTTGTGTAAATTGGCATTGTAACCAAATCATGTGATGGCAGAGCAGCGTCACCCAAATAGACAGGATTAACTGCAGCGAAGAGTGAATTACTACTCATAATTCCATGGGCTCAAGCAAATGTTAAATCCTAACACTTCAAATGGGATTGTGATCAGACAAAGCTCGTCGACCCAACAATACCGACAAGGTCTACCGAAAGTCTATTCACCTCGAGATGAGAGAGCGCAGATAAACGTGGAAACCGAATACTCATTCAAGCAATCGCCGTTCAGCATCTATCACTTTTCAGCAAATTATCCAACTTAAAATCTCACCAAATTTGTGACAATAGCTATTAGGATATAATAAGTACCGTCGTCTCACCTAATC